CCTATTTTGCAAATATGGAAATTGAGGCCAAGAAGAGTTAATATAGATTTTCTAGCTCATAAAGGGAAGGCTCAGGATTCAAACCAGATAGTCTGACTCCAAGGGCCATACTCTTGGGTCACAACCCTCTGAATCCAGATTTCCAGAGGGGAGAACCTGGAAGACTCAGTATGTGGCAGGAATAGCCTTGGTGTCCTATGAATTATACCAGGCAGCTGGGGTTATTAGTACAAACATGGCAGCTGAAGATGAGGAGCCATAGACTGAGGTGTGTGTGTGGGGGGGGGGGGGCGCGGGGGCGGGCACGTGGGGAAGAGGAGGGAGGACACAGGTTTCAGAAAAAGTGGAACATTGCATAAAAGGCATTACTTATAAAGGCGTATTACATCCTGTGTAGTAAGAGTTCACATTCCACATTTACTTGTGGACTGATTGAAGATTTGGCAAGTTCAACTACTTGTTCCAGGCTATGAATAAGTGAGACAAGATTCAACACTGCCTATTGAATTCTTAAGCCTTACTGTACACAATACACTTTCAGAGTAGGATGAATAGGACAGTTGAGAGAATGCATTGACAGACTGCATGTTCCAAAAAGGACTAACACAAGTATTTCCCACCCCACATAATCTTCCTAAAATATTAACTTTGACATTTCCCCCAGTGAGATAAGGAGAACATAGTCATCCCTTTGGGCTTGGGAAGGTTTGGGTGGCTATGGCAGAAGTGACGCTCCAGGCCTATAAAAGATGATGTGGCTTTCTCTACTCTTGAAATGCTCCCTCTTGGAACCTAGCCACCATGCGGTGAGGAAGCCCAAGTCAGAAAGACCACATAGAGAAACCTCGAACCTAGAGCAGTGGTTGGCAAACTCATTAGTCAACAGAGCAGCAAACTGCCGCAAGCCACGTGTGGTTCAAGAGCCGCAGTTTGCTGACCACTGACCGAGAGAAAGAGAAATGCCTGCCCAGCTACCATCTGGCTGCAACCTCATGATGGAACCAGAGCTGGAACTGCCCCTGTGAGCCCTTCTCAAATGGTTTGAAGCCACTGAGTTTTGGGCGGATATGTTATACAACAACAGTAACCAGACAAGCATATCCGAGGAACAGCGCTCTTCAGGAGGACATGAGAGCACCTTCAGGTGTCTGAGGCTATGATGTCTAAGTGGAGAGAAGACAGCACCGAGATCTGCAGTTGGGGATATGCCAGGGAGGCAAACGTGATTCTTCATGGAGGTCTTCTCTAACTGTAGAGCTTTAAAACAGTCATGCAACAGTGAGCCCTGTGCCACCAGACATATTCAAGTAGAGGATGGCCATCTTAGATAATGTTCCAGAGGGCCCAGAAGACCCCAAACGCACTTTCCAGCTCTAGAAGATATAATTCTAAATGAGTTAAGGCAAAAACTGTTTTGAAGCGTTTAGTAAATCCTTCTTAGAACAGGTAAGGCCTAATCTGGGCTTTTCAAGTTGGAGAGGGTTGGGAAATGTGAAAAGCAGAAGGAGGGACCATTCAGCAAAGAGCCAACGGAAACTGTTTAGTTAGCCAGCAACACCAAATCAACCATGCCCCTCTCCCCTGAAGACCTACTCTTTCCTCACCCACTCATAGTGTATTATGGGCCATCATCCTTCCAGACCCTTTCTCAGTCTGCAACCCTTTTGGCTCACTCAGTGTTCAATCTCATTGGTTGTAAGTCATTCCTCTCTTATCTCCAGTTAAGTCCTGCATCTCTTCATTGTGTCCCATTTGCACTGTCAATGGCTTTGTTCATGCCATCATCATCTCTCAACTAGATAACTGCAACATTCCTCGGCATAGGCTTTTATGAAATCACTAGAGTCCAGTGCATGAAATTTGTGCAGGGGGGGGGGGGGGTCCCTCAGCCCAGCCTGCATCCTCTCCAATATGGGACTACTGGCTCCTAATCGCTCATCTGTTTGCTGGCCTGATCCCCCTAACTGCTCTCCCCTGCTGGCCTGATTGCTCCTAACTGCCTCTGCCTTGACACTATGGCTTTGTCTGGAAGAACATCCGGAAGTTTGTCCAAAAGATATCTGGTTGAATTAGCATATTACCCTTTTATCAGTATAGATATACCTGTGGGATGGGCCTAAACCGGCAGTCAGACATCACTCTCGCAATCCAGGACCACTGGCTCCTAACCACTCACCTACCTGCCTGCCTGGTTGCCCCTAATTGCCCTCCCCTGCTTGTCTGGTTGCCCCCAACTGCTCTCCCCTGCCAGCCTGGTTGCCACTAACCACCTCTGCCTTGGCCCCTGCCAATGTGGCTTTGTCCAGAAGGATGTCTGGAAAATGTTCAGTCTAATTGGCATATTACCCTTTTTATTAGTATAGATTCCTCAGAATGTGCCAAACCTTGTCTCTAAAACCAAAGCCTTCATTCAGTTTCCACTGCCTTTAGAACAGAGTTGAAATTTCTTAGGCACACAAGGCTTTCATGATATGGCAGAGAATGAGCGGAGGAGGTGAACAAAGATGGGTCAGGGACAGGCAAAGACATCAATTCCTGTCTTAGTTTTTTTTTTTTTTAAATATATTTTTATTGATTTTATAGAGGAAGGGAGAAATAGAAACATTAATGATGAGAAAGAATCAGATCAGTTGCCTCCTGCAGGCCCCCTACTGGGGACTGAGCCTGCAACCCAGACCTGTGCCCTTGACCAGAATCAAACCAGGAACCCTTCAGTCCACAGGCTGATGCTCTGTCCACTGGGCCAAATTGGCTAGGGTCCGACCTTAGTTTCTTAAGGCTGCTATAACAAATTACCGCAAACTGTTTGGCTTAATATAACAGACATTTATTTTTTCACAGTTTTGGAGGCTAGAAGTCCAAGATCAAGGTGCTAGAAGGGCTCTGCTCCCCCTGAAGGCTCTAGGGAAGAATTCTCCCCTGCCTCTTCCTGGATAATTCTGGCAGCTGTATCACTCTAATTTCTGTCTCCATCTTCACGTGGTCTTCCCTGGGTGCGTGGGTTCCAATCTCTCTCTCCTTTCTCTTATAAAGATACCAGTCATTGGATTTAAGGCCCATCTCATTTTAACTGGGTTACACCTGCAAAGACCCTATTTCCAAATAAGGTCCCATTCACAGGTGCTGGGGTTTAAGAAGGTATCTCTTGGAGACACAATTCAACCTTCTACATTTTACACTGGTGGAAACTACAGATCAATGGCTTACTACAGGGGAGGAATCCTGCTGGTGAAAAAGTTTGGGATGAAAATGCAGTATTTCAGGAACCAAAGAGCTAATATGAATAGGATACCTCAGGTGACCAGGAAGGCTTTCTGAACAATGGAGTAGCATGTATAATTAAATGATAAATTTTTACTCGTGAAAAATCAATCTGGAAGCTAGATATAGACAAGAGTAGAAGAGATAAAATTAGAAATTCAGTTAGTATGTCACATTAGCCCACAGGTGAGGACACAGGCACAGGATTAGGGTGTTAGCCCCAGGAAGCTGTTAATTCTGCCTCTTTTGTTCAGCAATATATCCCAAGAACCTAGAACAGTGTTGGTCACATCAGAGGTGCTGGGTACACATTTGTTGACTAGCTGAATGGGTGGAGGAAGTAGATGCCACAGACCCGTTCAGAGGTGGACTGAATTAGCTGGTCCTGGCACATGACAGGGGTCGAGAAGAAGCATCCGTTGAGCTTCATTTCAAGTCAAGCCCGTAATGGGCACCTGCTCCAGACAGAACCGAACCTCTCTCATACCACCTGCAGCCTGGCATCCTATCTGACTTTGGGCTATTCCCTACCGCAGCACAGGAGGCATCACTTCCTTCATGTCTGAGCGTGTCCTCCGCAGCAGGTCGTACACAGTGGGCCCCCAATATAACTTTTGGTGAACTTGTGCATAATTCAATTTCTACATATCCACAAAACCGAAAGGTTTTCCCCCCCGAACGGAACTCTGGATCTTACACTTCTGTACGCTTCAAAGCGCCTGCCTGGCGCATGGCGCCTACGAGCCCTTGTTTTAACCAAACAGAATAAATCAGATTCACCCAGTTCCGCCCTGGCAGCGACGTCTGCACTTGGCAGGACAACAGAATCCACGGCCATTAAATTCTTATGTAAGAGTTAATGACCCTCCCGGCCCACTGACATGCCTCCCACTGCCGAGAAGGGGAAGGGAAGGGAAAGGAAGCGAAAGCACTACACGCACACACACGCGCGCACAAGCACACACACACACACACACACGCGCGCGCGCGCGCGCACACAGGCTCCAGGTGGTCGATGCACAGATTAATTTCTAGCCTCGGTTCCTCACAACCATCTGAAAACACCGCTGCAGGCGCTGCAGGCGCGGGCGGGCGGGCGGGGAGCGGCGGGGCCGGCGCGCGGCGTTGGGTTCGGGCGCAGTCGGGTCCCGGGGAGGCCTGCCCGCTCGCGCGCCCCGGCCCCGGGTCGGCGGTGACAGCGGCCCCGGAAGGGGCCTCGGGTGCACGGCGGTCCCCGTGGGGCGCCGGTGCAGCCTCGGTCCGGGAGCCCCGCCCGGCTGGGGCAGCAGACGTCCCTCCCCGGACTCCCGAGGCCCCGGCCCCGTGACCACCCGGCCCGCCGGCTGCGGAGGACGCCGAGCCGGGCTTCCCTGAGCCCGGGGCCCGGCGGGCGCGCGGGCGGGGCGGCGAAGATGGCGGTGCGGCCGGGCCCCCGGCGGCCGCGAGGGGCCGCGGTGCAGCGCGCTCGGCTGGGCCCGCGCGGCTAGAGAGGCGCCTGGGCCGGCGCGGCCTCCTCCCCGCCCGCCCGCCCGCCCGCGCGCCCCGCCCCGCGCCCGCCCGCCCCTCCCCGGCCGCGGCCGTGCCCCGCGCCGCGCTCCCCCGGGATGGCCCGCGCGCCTCGGCGCTGCCTGGCGGAGCTCACGGCGGAGCGGCGGCCGCGCTCGGGGGGCGCGCGGCGGCGGCGGCGGCGGCGGCGCGGCGCGTGAGGGGCCGCCTCGGGCCGCGCGGGCGCCGCCAACATGTCGGATACGAAGGTAAAAGTTGCCGTCCGGGTCCGGCCCATGAACCGGCGAGGTGAGGAGCTTTTCCGCGCGTTTCTGTCGGGGGGCTGGCCGGGGAGGGCGGGGGCAACTTTGGGAGATTGCGGGGCGGCGGGGCCGGGCGGCGAGCGCGCGGCCGAGGAGGAGGCCGGGGAGCCGGGGACCCGGCGGAGGCGGAGGCGGAGGCGGTGCCGGGTGGCACCGGCCGTGCAGCCCCGGGCGCCGGGGTCCGGCTCGGCCGCCTCCCGGGAGAGCCCGCGCCGCGGGCGGGATGCTCGACTTTGCAACGCTGGTGTTGCCTTTGCTTTCAGAACTGGAACTGAGCACCAAGTGCGTGGTGGAGATGGAAGGGAACCAGACGGTCCTGCACCCTCCTCCTTCCAACACCAAACAGGGAGAAAGGTAACGCGGGCGCACAGAGGGCGGGACGAGGACCTGACCTCGCAGTCAGTCCCCAAGTTGGAGCCAGGAAAATGGGAGTCTCTTTCCTATTGTTAGGGGAATTGGCTTCAAGTTTGTCGCACGCTCCTGTCTGAAGCTGTTGCAAGTCCAAGTTCCTCTCCTCCCTGCCCCCCCTTTCTGGAGCGGCTTCGGGCCGGCACCCTCGCTAGAGCTCTCACCAGTCAGCTGTGTCCCGGCAGGCCCAAGCCTAGAGGCACCCAGACTGAGAGGGGCCAGCTTGGGTGGGATCCTAAAGATGATTAGTCTAACAGCCACATTTTGCAGATAAGAAAACTGAGGCTAGAGTGGGCAGGTGACCACCACCCTAAGACCTTGTTTTTCCGCGGGACCCAGTGCCCCACTTTCTTTGCACCGCTGCACTGTCTTCATGTGACAGTACTTTGTGTATAACAGGAGAGAAGACCCCCACAATAAAACAAAAACAGTCCTGTATGATCCAGGCTGAGGCCTGGACCATGTAAAATCTTTTTGGTGCTGATGTTGGGTTGAGATAATGCCTGAATGGAATATGCGAAGTTTTTGATTTTCAAGGAAACAAAAGTCTTGTCCTAGTTGTGTAGACACTGGGGGGAATGTCTAAAAGGGGGCTGCGTTTACCAGAGGGCAACATATTTGCATTTGAAAAGTTGTAACTGTTGGATCCTTATTAATTCTGCTCTATTCCACCCAGCAGTATGGGAAAATGCCCTAAAATAATTTAAATATTTGGCATTTTTTTCTGGTAAGCCCCCTGAGAAGAAAAAGGTTGGAATTCATTCAATATAGCATTGTATAAGCTTACAAAATATAGAAATGAAAAAAAAAAAACGGGAGATTTGGCAAAATTAATTCCTCTAGGTCTAGGGACATCAGTATGAGTTTGTGTTCCTAATCACCTGTTGACTGATGTGCTACAACTTAGTGATTTTTGCTCTTCAAAGGTTTTCATTGGAGACTCTGAAAGTAGGACTTGTTACTTTATTGCTAAAAGAAGCAACTGCCTCCATTCTATAATCATGTGGTGTTCAGGCGCAGTTTTGCTAAATTTGGGGGAAGAAATTATCAGGATGTAAGATTTGGTGTTTTGTTTGTTTTGTTTTGTTTTGCTCTTTTTGTACCAAAGCAAGCAAGTTTACAAACATTTTGCTACCTAGAGCAGATTGCTGTGGTCATAGTAAATAGCTAAGTTGTATTTAAAATGTTGTGTTAAATACTTTCAAGTGGTGGATGTATCCTTGGGTAATATTTTTAGATACACTTTAAATATAGTAATTTAGATACATGTTTAGCAGTGTAGTTGTATATTTCATGGTCAGTAAGTAAACTCATTGAGTACATGAAAATATCACCACCACCCCACTCCCAAACTGGATATTTTTCTATGGTTTCAGAAAAAATTCTGTTGGATGTGAGGTTCTGTAAAGCAGTCTGGGAAACAGGTAGCATATTCTAACTGCTGTTATGTAGCTGCCGTCTTTCTCCTTGCTGGTTCCTTGCACCTGTTCCTTGTCACTTAACCACAAGGAATGCTACTGTTAGGTACTGCTTAATGAGATGAAGTTTTATCATTTGTGGTAAGAAATACTTATTTGTGGGATTTGGGTAGAAATTACAACTGTAGACAGTTGATTAGAAATGCTAAATAATCAGTTGGTCATTTTGAGGGCTTTCATGGCCACTGCCATTATTAATCAGAATCTTTTAAGTAAAAATTTGTGGGATGCTTTTGGGATTTATCCATCTGCTTGCTTATTGGAATAGCCCCTTCTCTGAAGCTATAAGAATAGCATTGAAATATGGGTGTTCTCTTGTTCTGTTCTTCTGACAGATCTGCTGCTTTGAGTGGTAGATGGGCCCTTTCTGTGGGGTTCCGCCTGGGTACCAGTCATTTAATTTATAGACCAACTGAGAGGGGCTAATACAACAGTGTTGCTTGTAGGTTAGGATTACTGTGTTGCAAGGATGGAGACACCAAATGCATTTTGATTTTCATTATGCAGCTTGGCTTCATGTTTCTCCACCAGGTTTTCCCTTAAAGCAACAGTGCATTTAAAAATAGAAACAGTTCTTCCCTTGGGCTCTGGGTTGATTAATTGCGATAGTGCTTCATGTTATGTTTACAAGTTACTTCTATCATTTGTTTTGGGATAGAGCTCAGGGAAAGGCAAAAATATTATCTTCTTTACTGAGAAGTCCAATATTTGAAGTATTAAGAAGTACTTAAAGTAATATTGGCAAACCTGTAACAAATTGAGAAGTGCCATTTTCTTGAAAATCGTAAGAAATTATGAATGTATTAGTCATAAGTAGAAGTTTTAAGTTACTGGGTGAAAGTTTTGAATCTCACCAGTAAAACAAGTGAGAGGGCATTGATGTCCAGGAACAGAAACCAACAGGCTTAGCTTTCACAATTTTCGCACTTTATGGAATCAAAGCCAAGACCACATGGTGAGGACTAAAAGATCGCAGGGCTTCTGAGGTTAAAGATGTTTGTTTTGGTCCCGATATTTTAAGGTTATAATACACTGCAGAGGTCCAGATTAATAGTTGGTGTGTATACCATTGCTGTTCTGAAACATTAAGAATATGAATTTATTTCTTAAAATACAGTTGTATTACTATGCAGGAGACATTTATGAAGTTCAGATCATATGGCAACATAATTGGCACAGGAGATCCAAAGGTAACTATAGGCCCAGTAACTGTGGGCCTGGCAGAGAGTCTCACCTTTGAGAGATGTGGGAAAAGGGAGGAAAAACCATTAAAAAACAATGTGGTAGATTATGTAGACTGTACTTTTGCTCATTGCATGCACTGTATTTTTGCAAATTACTTATTTCCTCTTCAGTCTCCTCATTGAGCCTGTGAGCTCCCTGAGGGCAACTATCTTGTCCTATTTACCTTTGTGACAGTGCCTCTAAGCAGCATCTGGCTCAAAGCAGGAGCTCAGCAAACACCTGTGCCGCTTAGGTTCCCAGTGTGGTGGAGCACTGAGGAGGGGCTGTGGAAGCGACATGGGGTCTCGCACCCTGCAAAGCCAAGTGGCACTTATGCTGGCCATGTGCAGTTCAGTTCAGGAAGGGGGAATAGAATGAGAACTCCTAATTTGCCAAAATGGGTTATAGTTAAAAAATCAAAGTATACAGAGACATACGATGAAAAGTCTTCCTTTCTCCCCTGCTGACACTCCTACTCTTCCCATCCCCTCACCTCTCAAAAATAAAGATAACCGCAGTCATTTGTTTTTCATGCATATTTTTAGATACACACTTATATATTGTTTATATGTATTTTAATAAATATTATGTGTATATATGTGTGTATATATATATATATATATTTGCAGGATTGGGCAAAGATAGGTTTACAGTTTGATTGTGAAATAGTTTATTCTTGTATTATTAATTAATTTTTGTATTATTTTCCATATAACCAACTATAGATCTACTTTTTACCTACCATTTCTATATTTTTGGATCTTAAGGTTGTTTATCATAAAGATTATAAATCTTTATGAAACTTTTTCATACTTCTTTGCTAATTGAAAGGCATTTTTTCTCAAACAAGCTTGCTAATATAAAAACATATCTTTGAAATTTTATGGCAAGATAAACTATTCTCTTCCATTATAATGGAGTTAAAAGTTGATAATTTTCAGATATAAGTATGAGATAGGTCATGGGAAAAATATATTTTTTAAAATATATTTTATTGATTTTTTACAGAGAGGAAGGGAGAGAGATAGAGAGCTAGAAACATCGATGAGAGAGAAATATCGACCAGCTGCCTCTTACACACCCCCTATCGGGATGTACTTGCAACCAATGTACATACCCTTGACTGGAATCGAATCTGGGACCTTTCAGTCTGCAGACCGATGCTCTACCGCTGAGCCAAACCCGTTTCGGCGGGAAAAAATATTTTATATGGGCAGTAACAAGAGCAGTGGTTTTCTCAGTTGAGAGTGCATAGAATTATCTGGAGAGTCCCACCCAAAAAGGTTCTACCCAGCAGGACTGGTGTGTGGCTTGAGATTTTTGCACTTCTAACAAATTCCTAGGTGATGCTGTTAGCTCAGGACTAAGCTTTGAGTGCCACTGGTCTAGACTAGAACTGTCCAATAGCATTGTCTGTGTGATAGAAATGTTCTGTATATCTGCTGTTCAATAGGGTAGCCACTAACCATATGCGAGTATTAAGCACTTGAAATGTGGCTAATGTAATCAAAGAACTGTATTTTAAATTTAATTTTTCTTAATTTAAATAGCTACATATGACAGATGGCTACTGCATTGGACAGCATAGGCTTGCATATTAGAATTACCTGGGGTGCTTTAAAAATAGTTGCCTGGGTCCCCCTTGCCTCCAGAGATTCTAGCTTAATTGGGCTACAGAGCAACTTGGACGTTGGGATTTTTAAGTACTTCCCCTGTCTTTTAGTTACTATTGTTGCTACACAGATTACCCCAAAACATAGTGGTTTAAGACAACCACTTTCTTATGTCATGGATTCTGTGGGTCAGGAATTTGGACAGAGCAAAGTAGATATGACCTATCTCTTCTCCGTAATGTCTAAGGCCTTATCTGTGAAGACTAGGAATCTGGGTGTGTAGTCATCTCAAGGCTTGACCAGGTTGACCGGCCATGGTGGCTGCCTCATGTGGTTGGCACTTGATTCTCATGTGCAGCCAAGGTTGAAAACCACTGGTCTAGTGTAATAAGCCAGTTTTTAATGCCCACTTTCACAAGTTGTCCTTTGATTTATTTTACCATTTGATTGTGATCATGTATGCAAATCTTCAGAATCATGAACTTCCTTAAAATTAATGTTTGAGAGTCTCATAAAATCAGCCTAAATATTTACCTTATTGAAGGCAATTTGTGGAACTTTAACAGGGTCTTCCTGTGTTAAGGGTGTGTATTGTGAAAGTAACGCCTCTGAAAGCTAAATAAATTCTCTC